GTGGCAAATGATCTTGCCCAGTAGTTTCATGCGGATATTAAAAAGCAGAGAGAGCACCTATACCTGGGCCACCACACAAAGCAGTGTGGTGAGAGGTGTTCCTCTCACTCTCTGTCAATATTGATTGGGATTGACGTCAGAGGAAAGAGGTGAATCAGCACAGATTTATGCCACTCACTTCTAACTCTTAAGTTGGCCCCAAAGGATACCAAAGGAAAACTAGAGGGGTCAAAAAGAGCAGGGATGGATGCTCTACCTCTAGAAATCATCCATGAATATGACCAATGCCATTTCAGTCCCATAACCGGGCCTGAAACCTGACGGAAAAGGATCCAGATAATTCATTTCTTCCAGGATCTTTTGGAGTTGCCACTCCTCAATCACCTTCCCTAAAAAGGGGAGGTGGGAGACTGGGCAAAAATTGTCCAGAATGATAGGATCCAGCATGGCTTCTTGAGGAGGGGGTATACCAGTGTCTCCTTAAAAGAAGCTTGAAATATCCCTTTCACCAAGGATGGATTTATCATCACTTAGACCCATCCACAAAACATGCTGATCATGTACCATTCTGGAAATAAGTGCTTGTGATATGTTATATTAAGTGTATTAAAAGTCCAATACTTCTTTGTGTGTGTGGTTGTGCACTTGATTTATACAGCAATGACTTCTATGAAAAGACTCTTCACAAATCAAGCATGTTATTCATGACTGAAACTTGGAAATAGAGCAACCATTGATCTTGTGTACGTAGTCTGATTAATGACTTCTCTGGCTTCCATATTTTATCAGCAACTGCTAGGTTGCCTCACTGAACATATTCCTCAATAAACACGTGTAAATTTAAAATATAAATGGCATGGTCCTATATACCATCAATCTGAATGCCCAGCTGTTGGGTTTGATTCATGGTTAAATAAGCTTATAGTTGCTTCTTCAAGGTTCATTAGAATATAGTCCCTTATTATAATAATGTAGCCAATATACTCTGACTCTGGCTCAGCTCTGATCAGAAGGGTCAGCCGTGGATAGTGGTGGTGCAAGAAATACAGAAAGTTCTCTGTCTTTTAAACCAGCATGATCTACTCTTGTGATAAGTAGAGCAAAATAAATGACTGTTAATATTGGAACGAGCTAGGACCATCAATTAGAAACAAGGAATGTATGGAAACGGCTCAGCCCATAGCAGATAAGTCTGCTTGTGTAGCCAGAGAGGCACAGGAAATTGGTTGAAACCAAAAGGCGTATTTTGTGCAGTGTGGGCTGATGTGTAAGGGAAAATTCCAAGGTTTAGAACTGATAGATTCTGCAGTTGCATTTTTGTAAACAAGAAAATGAGAATAGGATAGAATTCAGTATTTTGAGAACCGGAAAGAAAAAGCTATAAGGAAAAAAAGGAATGTTTATATTGCTGTTGGGAACTATATTTACCTTCTTTGAAGTTGCAATATTTCTGCTTCTGCAGAAATCAGACATTGCTGAACTCAGGACAGTTCTGAACTTCAAAATATTTTTTGAAATTTTTTAAAAATGCAATCAATATATAAAAGAATATTTGCAAAGGTACTCAGCACCAGAGAGGTTGGCTACCTGTTGCAAGTATTTCTATATATACTGAGAATCACACAGGATAGACTTTGTAATATTTGCAATATGGTTTTTGTGGTCCTATTGCACTGGCTAACTAACATAGGTTTTATTGTATTTTAAATTTGCTTTTTCAAATGCATTGGACTTGATTTGGCTGTGAAAATGTACTGCGTTTCCTAGAAAAAAATGTGGTCTCATTCTAAAGAAATGGTCTCCAAAGTGAGATCTATAAAGCAATCAATATGGGGAGAAAATATTGGAATTTTATATAAAACAATTAACTTATATTAATGAATAAATTGACACTATTTTAGTAAGTACAAACTGATTTATAAATACTATTAATAAACAGCATTAGTGATTAGGGTTTTTTTTTTAAATTAAGGTATATGTGATAATTTTTTGGGGGGGAAACTACTGCCTCCCTAAAAGCATCAACTATCAATATGATGTTTTGCATTTCAATATGCTGGCTTATCTCCAACCAGAGGTAGGTTGCTCCCAGTTTGGCCGAAACGGTAGTGGAATTCAGGCCTGGGTCGCAGAACCAGCAGCAACCCAGGCCTGCCATGGCCCCGAACCNTACACCTCACAAATAATAAGACCTCCCCGAAAATAAGGCCAGTCAAAAAAGAAAATAAGAACCTGTCTTACGGTAGGGCTTTCAAAACTATGTTAACTATGCTATGATCCTAAACTTTTCAATTTTGTTTTTCTCTATGCATCATTAACAGTATATTGCTAATTTTGCATTTTTTAATTTTAATTAAAGTTTTAAAATTTGTAAACTGACTGTATTTCATTAATTATAATTTTAATTGTAAATCATTTTGAAATTTTAATATGAGCTGGGGAAGCAATTTAAATGAAGAGAACACATAATTAAATAATATAGAAATAATATTGATTTCACAGCTCGCTAACTGCATTGATGGAATCAAGGATACTTTCCTAAACTGTTTTATAATCTACATGAGAAGACTCCCTCTTTTAGGAACACTTATTGATCAATAAATAATAAACGGATTTAGCAAAGAAACAGAATTTGTGGACATTAATTCCAGATACATTCCAATCCCAATCTGATTTGGGCTCTGTAAAATAAAGCCAACATCTTGGATTAATCCTGGAAACAGCCTGTCTGGAATCTGTATTCTGGGCCAAAGGATGATTCTGAACAAGCAACAGGGAAACACATATTCTGAAATAAATACACTTAACTTTTACCTTGAATTCTCCAACAGCCTTTCTCAGTGCACGGTCAAGTTCCTCAGAAGAAACCCTGACATAGGTGAAATCAATGAAGTCACAATCAACATCTTGTGTGCCAACTGTCCCAATCGAATAGGTTCCTTCTTTCTTGTAATGGAATTTCCCTGTGCTGCGATGAAGTAATATGGTGTGCAAAAGTGCTAGCATAGCTTCTTCAATCTGGCGACCTTCAACTGATATCTCCAGCATCTCTGAACGGCAGTTCATTGTGACTTCTGCAAAAGAAAAAATAAGCAAGCACTCTTGAAAAAAAGCTACATGAGCAGACTGGAAAACTGTAGCAACTATAGAAGATAGATATGAGCAGGTGGAAAATGTCTGGTTCCAAACTGTTCTAAAAAACAGCATGAAACGGTCCATTTTGAGGATTTTACAATTCTTCTGAGTTCCATACTAAATCGATGTCTTAAATTTCAGAACTGCTCCAAATTGTCCTAGTTTTCTGGAACTACAAAGTTGTAATAAAAATGCTGATACTGAATAAATTACGAAGAAGGCAAATCAAAATCAGTTTTAAATTCACAGTTTTAAAATTTAAACATTCTGAAAAGTGAGACAGTCCGAAACAATAATGTTAGAAAGCTTCGGTTTATTCCTCCAACCAATTTAACAAGTTACTTTTCAACCAATATTAATTCTTTGGAAACACAATCAGTAAATAGAGCCCCAAATGGTAACAACCCAGTATCTTGTGTCATCAAGTGCAAGAGGTTTAAATGGATCATCAAACGAAAAAGAACCCCATCATTTCCCAAGAATTTTGAAAGATGCAATAGTCCTCAACATCTATGGAGTCATCCAGGTCATGGTTGTCCCAAAGGTGTTTTTTTCCAAAGGCAACTGGACTTTCTTTGTTTTCCTTACAGACTTTTCACTTCTGATCCAAGAACTGAAAAGGCTTCTTGGATGAGAATCGAAATGTCTTCAAGGAAAAATAAAGAAGTCCAGTTGCCTTTTGAAAAAGCACCTTGGGGAGAATACTGTAGTCCTCAACCCAGCAGCACTGTTAACTTGAAAACAAATTGCAAGTAAGCCCCCCCCCCCATGGACCCAACAATAAAAGTATGGATGTTTTTGTCCTCATATTCTCACATTACATTGAATTTTATCTCAAAATGAAATTCACAGCAGTAACTGTGAGAGGCATCTTGGAGTCTTAGTGGACAACCAGTTAAATAGGAGCCAGCAATGTTCAGCAGCAGCCAAAAAAAGCCAACGCAATCCTAAATTGCATTAACACAGGTATACAATCAAGATCAAGTGAGATACTAATACCGCTATATAAAGCCCTTGTAAGACCACACCTAGAGTACTGCATCCAGTTTTGGTCACCACATTATAAAAAAAGATGTTGAGACTCTAGAAAAAGTGCAGAGAAGTGGGACAAAGGGACAGGAGACTAAAACATGAAGAACGAATGGTTACAGGAACTGGGCCTGGATAGTGAAGTGAAGAGAAGGACCAGGGGAGACATGATAGCCGTGTTCCAATATTTGAGAAGCTGCCGCAGAGAGGAGGGGGGTCAAGCTATTTTCCAAAGCACACCAATTGAATAGAAGTTGCCTTCGGAAGTCTGGGGAGCTTCATCACTTGAGACTTTCTAGAAGAGATTGGACTACCATTTGTAAGAAATAGTGTAGGGTCTCCTGCTTGAGCGGGGTGGTGTTGGTGTTGGACTAGATAACCTGTAAATGTAAAGTCCCTTCCAACTCTGTTAATCTGTAGAGAGTGACCTACATGAGATCACTTTTTATTTTTGAATTACTTCCGAATGATCCGATTGGCTGGGACATTTAAACCCATATATTTCAGTCTTTTCACCAATACACCACGCTGGCTTTTGAACCCCACCAAGGGAAAGAACATGTTTTGTTCCTAACGCAGGTCGCAGCCCCGAGAGTGGTGGTGGTGGGGAGGTGGTAAACCTCTTGCGACTTCCGCAGTGCTGTGACCAAAACACTCCTTAGGCTTTCTTCGGGGGGGGGCGGCGGAGGAGGAAACCCTCGGTAACTAAGGCAACCGACCGGACAAGGGCTCGCGCCTCCTGAGAAGTGGGAGGGGGCCCCATAAAGAGGCAGAGGGGGTGCCCGGTGGGAATAACAGCTGGCAACTCACCTGTCCCGGATCTGGGTGCTTCCCTACACAAGCAACTTAATCTTCGGACCGGCCCAACTAAGGCAACATGGGAGAGAGGGATTTGAAAAACCATCCTCAAGGACGACCCCGAAGTAATAATTCTTGGCCAAGGTCCCGTCTGCCCGCCCGTTGGGAAAAACGCCTAAATTTCATTCACATAAAGGCTTTTAACCCTTTCCAAGGCTTTTAAAATAGAAATTGCGGGTAGCCTTTCCTCCCTCTCGCCGCTCTTGGTACGGTCCAAGAAAGCAAACCACCGACGCAATCGCAAAAAGGGTCAAACTTCCGGGTTTCAGAGAACCGGTTTCGCCCTTTGCTGCCCCCCTCTGGCAAATTGGAGAGGCGAGGCTTAAAGGGGGCGCTATGCAGTGAAAGGTTTGAAAGTTTGGCGATGGCTTTTTACTGGTTAAAAAAGAAAGCTTATTTCATTTTTTTTTTGAAATGGCGTTTTATTTCATTGGTTTAAAAAGCACGAGATGCTTGTGGGGGTGTGTTTGTTTTTGTTTCGCACCTTGAGAGATTGCGTAACAAGATGCAGATTATTTATTTATTTATTTGATTTGTCAATCGTTTTACAAGATAACAGGTATAAGAATAAACATGAGTATGAATGAAGTGGGTACGAATAAATGGGGTTGTTAGGACAGGGACGGTACTCTGGTGCGCTTATGCATGCCCCCATACAGACCTCTTAGGAATGGGGTGAGGTCGACGGTAGATAGTTTAAGGTAAATTTTGGGGGAGTTTGAAGATGTAACCGGTTTCCCCTTTCCGTCCAGAAAAGTCCCGAAATATCTTTTAAAAAATAAAATTAGCGGAGAAGCAGGGGAAGGGGGGAAAAAGCTGCATCTGCGTGTTTATTCTACATTAATAAAGCGCGATCGTCCCTTTTAATCTCCCTTTAATCTCCCTGGACCGATTTACTCCACCGGCAAAGGATTTGCATTTCCCCCCCACACCTTGTAAACTGATGGTTCAAACTGACTGTTGAGAAGGCGTTGTTTATTAACAGGACTCTAGTACGGCAGACACACGGCAAATTAAGTTATTTCTCGGAACATCTTCAGTCTTATTACTGCAGAGTCAACAGCTGATTTGGCATAATTTTACGTCCCTCGTTACATCATCAACAACATTTGAGCACAATACCGATCGGTAATTTATGCTAACCGAAACTATGTAGGCCGCGGCCGCAAGTGCGCATGCGCCTCGCCTATTCAGGCCATTATACATCATTCAAGCGCAGCGTACCGGAAGAGGCGGGCAAAAAGCGGATGAGTGACGCGAAGCGGGAATCCTGAAGTCGGTGGAGCGACGATATGGGGGTGGGTGGGTGAAGGGTCGCACGGTGGTTAAATCTCTTTGAATAAAAACGGCGGTTGCCGTGTTATTTCAATCCCAATTTTGCTGTTCATTTGCCCGCTTCTCCCGTTTCTTTCTTTTTTGCAGCAATGCTTTGCGAGATTGTCTTTAGCGTATCTCGATTCCATCTGCCTTCATTTCAAGTTTTACAAGGTCTCCCACCTCAAAGAAGTATTACTCTGAGCAGCCTACAATACAAGTAGTTCTCCACTTGCAACACTTCATTTAGTGACAGTTCAAAGTTACAACGGCACTGAAAAAAGTGACATGACTATTTTTCACCACCGTTGCAGAATCCCCAAGGTCACACGATCAAAATTTGGATGCTTGGCAATTGACTCATTTATGACAGTTGCAATGTCCTGGATCATGTGACCACCTGGTCAATGGGGAAGCCAGATTCACTTAACTATCATGTTACTACTACCTTAATAGCTGTGATGATTCACTTAGCTGTGGCAAGGAAAGTCATAAAATGGGGCAAAATTCACTTAACAAATGTTTCACTTAGCAACCGAAATGTTGGGCTCTATTCTGGTTGTAAGTTGAGGGCAACCTGTATAAATATAAAATAGAGAATAATAATTATCATTAATTAATTATTTACAAGCGGTCAATATATAAATACAAAGAAGCTAAACCAACTTATTACAAATAAGGTGCCTTTGCATTGTAGCCTGTGTTTGTCATGTTTTTTTTTCTTTTTGGTAATAAAAGTTACAGTAATGTGTCTTATTTTTTTCCTGGCAAAATAATTTTGTTCAGTTGTTTAGGAAGCTTCATGTCTGGTTGTCACAATTTACATAAATTTTAACATTTGTAGAAATGTAATTCTTATCAGCCATCAAAGGTTGATCTATTTACAAAATAGAATTAAAAAGACTATCAAAGAGACTTGAAAGGTGTTTTTATATGCACATATCTTTCCCCCCAGAAGACATAAGAACATGCATATATAAAGATTCAATTCCACAATCTTAAAAGGCAGCCTAAAACAAATTATTAGAGACTAAAATAAAAAAAAAATCTACTCTGAGTCTAGTGGAAGTGAACCACTAAAAGTGATAGTTGATCCAGCTTTTATTTTTCAGCTCAGTTCTTGAGATTTTGGATTCTTTTCTCTCCCCCCCCCCTTTTCTAATGGCTGATCCAAAGTGTCTCCCCCACAAAATGTTTGAGGGGGCTTGTTCTCATGCCTTCCTGCGAGACATTTTTCCTCCCTTAGGCAATTAGAGAATGGAACTATTCTACTGATGGTATTTCTAATTGTCTCTTTTATGGAATGTATTTCAGTAAAATTATTGAAAAGGTAAATGACTCATGATAGCAAACAGATTTTAAAATTGTCTCTGCTGCTGATAGCTATAAATGTAGCTTACTTGTTTCTGACATTTATGAAAACTTGATTAGTCATAAGGTTACTTCATTTCTATTTGTCTGAATTGCTATGGAAATGCTGAACAAATGCATTAAGAACTTCTATATAATATCTCTTGTATTCTGTTTTAGGCTACTCTTTCTCCAAATGTGCAGGCAGTGTATATGATTCCTTTCATTCTACTTCAGGCTGAGGAAAAGTGGCTGATCTCATACAACATTGCTTGTTTAAATATGGTTTACTGAATAAATCATGTTTACCCATAGTTGGGTGTACATTACATGCTAAATATTCAGTATATTACTGATCCAAGGCCACAACTGAATTTAACTGAGTTAATCCCAGAATTTGCAGCTGTAAAGACTGTCTTCTTTAATAATAAAAACAGTAACCTTTTTCCTCAGATTTAAAAAAAACTGCTCAAATATTGAAAGGAATCTTTCCATGCTTGTAATTGCTTCTGCTACTTTGGTTCCTATCCTTCCCCACCTCCCCTTTTAATGTCAGAAGAGGGTATGTTTGAGCTACAGGAAAACATGGATCATGAAGCCAGATAGCAATAAATCTCATCTTTCTGAGTGCTCAGAGATGAAGCTTCTCTGGAGTGACAGCATTCTTAACAGATCATAGGAACCCACACTTTCTGAAGGACCACAAAAAGATTCGTGGCACGACAAAACCGCGCTCGACTAAAGTGCGCCCGATTAAACCGTGTCGCTGTTGTCATCAGCAGGGCGACAACAGTGAGCGCAGGGAAAGAAGGGCGCTTTAAATAGCGCTTTGAAAGCAAGCCGATTCAAGTTAAGGTAAGGGTTAGGTTTAGGGTTAGGTTTAGGGTTAGGTTAAGGGTTAGGGTTAGGCTTAGGTTAAGGGTTAGGGTTAGGTTTAGGGTTAGGTTAAGGGTTAGGGTTAGGCTTAGGTTAAGGGTTAGGGTTAGGTTTAGGGTTAGGTTAAGGGTTAGGGTTAGG